TAATTAAAATAATATGATTCTACTGTAGAATAAGCACACTGAAGGAATATATCTCTCTATATATGGAGCCCTTATGGGGCAGTGGTTAAGAGCTCAGCTGCTAACCAAAAGGTCAGCAGTTCGAATCCACCAGGTGCTCCTTGGAAGTCCTATGGAGCAGTTCTACTCTGTCCTATAGAGTTGCTGAGTCGCAATCTTCTCGACGACGGCAGTGGGTTTGGTTTGGTTTGGGTTTATATATATATGAAATCACAGTTAGAATTTTATTATAATTCTGCTGTTGCCACATACTGATCTTTATCGAGTAAACTAAATCCTGTGGAATTCACTTTCTCATTTGTGAAAAAATCGTAATGAAACTAACCTGATGGGTATTGTGAAAATTAAACAATAGAATGTTTTAAATAAGTTTCTCTACTTCCTACCACATAAGAGTGATCCAGAATGGCGTCCATTAATATTTTTAAGACTCTCTTTCTCTATGACTAAATAAATGATTTTAAGAACACTATTAATTTACTTTTAAAAGTACTGCCTTTGCTAAGAAATAGAATTGCTTGATTAAAGAATTGAAAGATTTTTAAAATTCTTACCTACTTGTAAAATAAATATTTCAGTATTGTAAAACGTCTTTGTTCTTACTGTCTTTGTAGCTAATTAGTCTTATTTTATATTCGTAATAGCCTGGTTAGCTGAACATACTAATTAAAAGTTGATTTGATACTCTTTCCTATTTCTGCAGTAATTCTGTTCTTTGGAAATCGGTTTTTTTTTTTTTTTTGGCCGAGTTTTTTTTTTTCGATATTATTCACAGGGAATACAGGAAGTATAAGGAGTACTCTGTGGGCTTTCCCAACAACGGTGTAGGTAAGTGTTTCATTTGCCCTGGTCAGCCTCAGCTTTTGCAGTGATGTGACAGGCTATGGTAGTTCATGTCGCAGCTCCTCACACGGGACACCATCTGTCGCAGCAAGCGGCGGAGACAGTAACCATGCCACAACTCTTACAGAGAAGTGGGGCCAGGAGGGTTACTCTGAGGAGTCGACCCCGCTTCAGTCCCAGGAGTTTATTTATAGTCAGTACAGCAAGCAATAAAGCAATTAACAAAACAATGCGCTTTGGGTGTGGGCAAGGGAGAAGGAATTCAGGTAAACAAGCCAATCAGTAAAGGGACAATAGGTTTGGGAAAACAAATCGTGACAAGTCTCAACATGTTAGAGACAAGTCTCAACATGCTGTGCAGCATAGAGGCCTGTGGGGGCTGCAGTTGTCAATAGTGCAGCCATGTTTAAACGGCATATATCCCCACAAGTTCATATGAATGAAGAAAGCCTGTTATCCTCCTTCAGTGAGACAGGAAGGGAAACGTTTCTGTCGTGGATGTCCATGGAGGGCTTGGTGGTATCCTCACGGCTTTTGGTATTTTTATTTCTAACTTCACCAGCTGAGTTCTGAGCTGAAGAAAACAAAAATAATGAACTATTTGGTCAAGCGCTGTTTTGGTACCTGTTTGGTCACAGGAATTCCCACCTTCCTCACGTGGGTGATTTTTGGTGAGGAAAGGATTCTATGTTGGATATTTCTGGTATCTCACACTATGTATATACACACAACTCTATGTCTGGCACTCATCCAGGGAAACTGGGGGAAATGCATTCCTATATATTTTTTCTTTGACACCTGCATTCTGGTGACCAATCGCTGCACTGACTGAGGATCTGACACCCTATGAACAATCTGCATTCTATTGCATTATTGACGAACGACTCTCCAAGGACAGTCACATCTCTCATTTACATGAATGTCTAGTCCCCCAGTCCTGGATAAGTAACTGGTTACAAGAAAATCAGACCTGAGTTTGTATATACAACATACAAGATCTACACACCGAGGAGCATCTTTTTATCAGAGCCTCCTGACTGCAGAAATGAAGCCCTTTCCTGAAAAGAATATGAAACCTTTAAGTTGCTTCCAGTTACACTCCTTCTTCTCAGGTAAAGGCCAAGAAGGGGTCCTGTACTAATATCCAGTGGATATCAAATGTGGATTGACTTTTCACTTAGGGATCAATTCTAGTCCTTCACCCCCACCCCAATCACCTCTGAACCTCTGTAGCAATCTTGCTGTCTTTGTGCTCCTGGGGTCTTAGATTGTGCTAGGCCATTAAGTAAGCAGGTGTATGTCCACAGTGGGAAGTTTGAGTGAGTTCAAGAGTACCTCAACACATAAGGGTCCTTCAACCTGCAGAATTATCCATGGATGTTGTGCAGGCAGCATTACAAAGAACTATCACCATATGATGATCAGAAATTTATCAATTTGGGAACCTGAGATCCACATTGGAAGAGTAACACGGAATCTAATTGTTGGCTTGAGATTCCAATAACCTTCCATTTTCCCTGAGAACGATGCTGGGTAGTCTGTTGATCCTGACTTATTCTCTCCATGTTGTCCAATCTCAAGTCTGTTTTTTATCTCAGCATCCACAGACCATTTCTTCCCCACCATGCCTCTCTTAAGGGAGGAACCCTCCCAGCTCTAGTGACTGTCATCTAGTTTTCCTTGAGTGGGAAAGTAGAGTATCGTTTTTCTTCTCAGGTTTGCTTTGCCACTGAGGGCCTGCTGGTACATTCATAGGCCCTAAGCGTTTTTGGTTGTTGCTGAGAATATTGGAAACTTAAAAAAAAGTTCATATTGTCTTCTGATTATTGGGGGGTGGGGAGGCAGAATCCCCCATAGTAGAAAGCTAAAGATATCTTTCCGCCAAACATGCCATTAGGCCAAGTTGTCATTTTTAGCAAACTCAGACAATTTTAGAATATTTAATGTGGAACATGAGTGCGTTTTTGGTGTTTAAAATGTTATAGAAAAGGTAAAGTGAACTGATGATGCTTTACAAGTGGCGTCTGTGCCCTCACTTGTTCTCAGAGGCCTCAGACCATTCTATTCATTAAGGAACCGATGACACTGCACCGCTGCCTTCAAAATACCTTAGTTGCCTTCCCTAATTGATGGGGCTGGAACTGCATCTACGGAGCTTTGAGTCTGAAAATCCTAAGGCTCTGGTGGATGTGTTAGCCTTAACAGCGTTTTCCCCTCTGCCTTGAGCCTGCCCCTTCCACCTGAGTCTTGCACTTTCCAACTACCGCCAGCTGGCGTCACAGGTGGAGGCAACTGCTGTAGCATGTGATCTGCAAAGTTGGGCAAGGGAGATATGGGGAGTTTTCCCAGACCCTTCCTGTCTCCATATTGTCTCCTTACATATAGTGGAGTTGCTCTTTGAATGAGTATAATAGCAAATAAAAGATACTAAAATAAATTACGGTAGAAGGAGAATGTAATCATTTTATAATAAATCTAAGCAAGACAAAAGGTAGCACAAATGACTAATAAGATTGTGAATGAAAAGTGGTTCATTACTGATAACTAATTTTTATTGTTATACAACTCTGCCAATAAGCTATAGAATCACTAAAATAAATAGTTTTGTGAAAAATAAAAATGTCTCACACTCAGGAAGAAACAAACCAACTTGATAGTAACATAAGAATGAAACCCGTTGTCGAGTCAATTCCGACTCGTATCAACCCTATAGGATGGAGTAGATAGAACTGCCCCATAGCGTTTCCAAGGAGCTCCTGGCGGATTCAAACTGCTGACCCATTAGTCAGCAGCTGTAGCACTTAACCATTACACCACCAGGGTTTCCATAATAATGAAAGGATGTACAAAATTATAAGTTTGCAAAATCCATAAGGCAGTGGTATTTTGAAGGTGCAGCCTTCTGGGTGAGTTGTGCAGTCGGGGCCCAGCAGAGAAGATAGTCCTGCTGCCTTGCTTCAGGACAGAGGAAACATGATGAGTTTAAAGCCAGAGGTATCTGGGAAAGCTGATACATTTACTCTTTGTACTTGTAAATGTGTAGTGGCTTCATTAACCTGTAGAGAAATCCTGAGCTCTCTGCCTGTAGAAAGGAGTCTTGATGAGAGAACCCCTGCCTATTTCTGCAGCCTCTTCTCTGTTCAGTCATCTCCCTTGAGCTCCAAGTCCAGTCCCTTGAAAATATACAGATCCCTGAATGCATCACACTTAAGTCATGCCTTCTGCCTGGGCCATGGTGGTTACACAGAAGCACATCTCAGCGGAGGAGGCAAAATCAGAGGAACATTTGTACCCAAAAGAAGAATCTTCACAACTGACAACTTTTCTATTTCTTAAAAATTTGAGATAATTGTGGATTAACATGATTTGTGAGAAATAGTTCAAAGAGATGTCTTGTACCTTTGCCCAGTTTCTCCCAAGGTACCATTTTCTAAGACTATAGTATAATATCACAACCAGGATGTTGATATTGATACAATGTGTATAAAGTTGAGATAAGCCCTGGTGGCACAATGGTTAAAACCCTCGGCTGCTAACGGAAAGGTCAGCGATTGGAACCCACTAGTAGCACGGCCAAAGACCCAGCCATCTGCTCCCGTAAAGATTAAACAAAAGCTTTTCTGTCAAGTTAATTCTGATTCACAGCAACCCTATAGGACAGAGTAGAACTGCCCCATAGGGCATCCAAGGAGTAGCTGGTGGATTCGAATTGCCGACCTTTTGGTTAGCAGCCAAGCTTTTAACCACTGCACCCACAGGGCTCCTGGGAAACCCAATGGGGCAGTTCTGCTCTGCTGTAGGGTCACTATGAGTTAGAATCTACTCAACAGCACGCAATGACAACAAGCTCATTAAACTTGAAAAACACCATGAGTTTCTTAATTGATAGAACAAACTATTCATACCAAGAAAATGGAACTGTAGCAATTAATGCCAATATGTTATCAGTTCCTGCCTCAGAGATAGAACTTAGTAAAAAAAGTTTTAAAGCCAGGGTTGGTTATTATTCTGTTGGTCACAAATGATATCAAAATATCTCCACTTTATTGCTATACAAATTGATCTCTCAGTACTTTCTATCTCTCACATCAAAGTGTGAAGATTGAAGGCCCCACAGTGTCAGTCAGGAGCCTGTTATGGAGGCGCCCCCATCTTGTAGCTGCACCATCAGAACATGCAGTCAGAACAAGAACAAGATGGAAAACGGGGCAAGAAAGCATGTGCAGGAAATGTAAAATGTTCCAGTTATACTTTCTGAATGGTGATATACAATTACCAGGCTTTTCCCTAGGGATGCAGGGAAAAGAGGAAAAAAGTTATTAAAAATAACTGTTTTTGAAAAGATTCACTAAACAATTCCTAGGCGATGGTAGGGAGCAGATAGAACTCTGGACCTGAGGGGAGGTTCGAGTTTGTAGAGACAAAATTGGGGGTGTAATACAATTGGATAGGAATAACAATGTAGTCACTGGGTACATGGCTGGCCCAGGCACCAGAACACATTAAAGCATTACCCTTTCCCCAGGGGTCTTAGTGGCGGCCTCTCATTGGTTCTACGTTTCTCTTCCGCATTGTTTTCTTTCCTGCCTGTAAGAATTTAACTTTCGTTTCTCAGCTTCTCTGTGAAAACTCCTTTGTGAAGTTCTGGCTCTTCTTTTGCCTTGTAATTTCCGACCACGGGAGCCCTTGTCCTGCTTTCTCTGTTCTACCCTGAATCTGGACTTCTCCATGCGGGACTGAAGGAGCGTGGAGCGGTTTGTGGAGGCAGACGGTCGGAAGCTTCTGAAAGAAAAGTTAAATGTGTGTGGTGAGTTTTATTTATGGTCCTAAAGCTGCTCCGAAGGGAACAAAAGGGCGTTTCCAGGCTTCCCACTCCTGGGGCCAACTGAAGGGCTGATTGAGCATGAGGGAGGGGCGGCCCTGAAAGAAGGGGGGTTTGAAGAAGTGAAGGGCCTTGTTTTTTCCTGAAGGGGCCATTATATCTCCAGACTGAATCTTCCCCCATCCTCTTCTTATTCTGTAGTATTTGCATCTTGCTGAGTGCAGCTAGAAGCCTCTTTTTCAGAGGCAGAAAGTCCTTTTCCCACTTTCCCCAAGAGAAGCCTGTGAAGTGGAGACCCTGTTTTCCCCTGTGTGAAAGCCCAGGCTCCTAGTCGGGGCCAGCAGAGATGAGAGCCCATGAGAGAAAGAAGAGAGTCTTAGGGGCTAGTCCTTTCCCTCCTCTCTTGGTTATATGTGCCCTGCTCTCCACAATCCTTCTGTTAAATTGCCAGCCCCTACGCCTGCCTGGAAGGAGCCCTGGTGGCACAATGGCTAAACCCCTAGATTGCTAACCAAAAGGTCAGCAATTTGAAACCTCCAGCAGCTCCAGGAGAGAAAAGACCTGATGATCTCCTGTAAAGATTATAGCCCAGGAAACCCTATGGGGCAGTTCTACTGTGTCCCATGGGGTTGATATGAGTCAGAATAGACCGGACAGCACACAACAACAGGCATGTCATCCAGACACAGGGAACCTGCTCCTCCCCGAGTGCCCTTGCCAACTTTTACCTCAGTAGCCCCTCATGACACTCGGATGTCCTGTCATCATTAGAACTTCTTCATCATTCTTAGACTCACCTTTGCATTATTTATTACCTCATTTTCTCTTGCTCTGAGCTAAGGAAGTTTCAGCTTTCTCAGAAAGAGCCCCACCTAAATGTCACCTGTAGCACTTTGCACCTTAATCCTTTCATTACTTATATTCTCATGTATACTTTCTTTTCCTCCCACTTTTCAGAAGTCAAGGTGACTATTTACCCATGAGTCTGTGCCTTCCACTTAGATAAAGTCTATATCTGCTAGATAATTGTTTTCTCAGGGGCTATCATAGGATCCAGTGCTTAGGAGGAAATGGATTTAATTATTTTTGAATATTTTTCACTTAATTTAAAGAACAAAGCATGCTGCTGGGGTGATAATATTATAATTAATATGCATTCAACATACAGTAAATATTAACTACCTACACAAGGAAGCAAGAATGGCAAGACTTCGTCTCACTTACTTTGGGCATGTCATCAGGAGAGACCAGTTGCTGGAGAAGGACATCATACTTGTTAAATTAGAGGGTCAGCAGAAAATAGGGAGTCCTTCAATTTGGTGGATTGACAGTGGCTTCAATAATGGGATCAAACATAGCAAGGATTGTGAGGATGGCACAAGCCTGGCTAATATTTTGTTCTGTTATACATGAGGTCACTATGAGTCGGAGCCAACTCCGTGGCACCAAACAGCAACTTAGAAAAGATTATATTCCTAGATGGGAGGAAAGAGAAAGTAAACAAACAGAAAATAATTAATATAGTATAAAAAAGGGTGACAATTACTATGGGATAAAAATTAAAGCAAACAACAGCAACAAACCAAAAGGACTTGTTAGGGCTTTGATGATGGGCTTTGCAATTTGTAATAGTTTTCAGGTTAGAGGTCAGTGTGGGAAGGTGATTTTGAAACAGCTTTCAGAAAATGAGGGATTTAAAAGCTCTAAAATGGATTTTTGCCCTGAGTGATCAAGGAACATACAGAGGCCAGTGTGGGTTAGAGAGGAATGTGCTGGGAGAGGAGGAAGAGGTGGGCTTAGAGGGCTGAGGCAGTGGGAGGTGTTGTAACCTGGGCTGACCTAGGCCATTATAAAGACAGGCTTCACTCTGGATGGCATGTGTGTGAGAAGAGGAGTGACACCCTGATGGTGTCTGAACAGTGATGAGAGCTGACTGTGGGAGGCCAATGATAGTATGAGAGAGGCCAGTGGGGTAACTATTCCCAGAATACAGGTAAGAGATGCAGGTGACTGGAACCTAATTTGAAGGAAGCATACACAGGATTTTCTGAGGAACTAAATATGAGAGAGGGATGAGACTAGGGGTAGCTTATTGAAATGACCGTGTGTTACAGAATAACTTCTTTGAAACATGTTAGCCAGAGAGGTAGAGCTCTTTGGGGAGAAAGTCATTAATGTGGGGCACACTTAGTCCTAGACTCTAAGGAGTGGCTAAAGAGTATATTATGAATTTGGTGGACCACTAAGTATATTGTGTAGTGAAAATAAATCATTGCAAATGTACAGCAAGTCATGGAATTGGTTATGCTTTAGAGAAGGTAGTCAGAGTGGGCCCTTCTGATAAGAGGACTTACAAAGGGAGAGTTGACTGTAGTAAATAACCCAAACCAAACCTGTTGTTGTCGAGTCAATTCCAACTCACAGAGATCTTATAGGACAGAGCAGAACTACCCATAGGGTTTCCAAGGAGTGGCTGGTTGATTTGAACTGCCGACCTTTTGGTTAGCAGCCGATCTCTTAACCACTGCACCACCAGGGCTCCAGACTGTAGAGTAAGAGTGAGTAATACTGATATTAGGCCAAATATTCCATGCTGAGTAAAGATCAAGTGTGAAAGTCCTGAAATATCAGTGGGTTTGGTGCTTTTCTTATTAAGGATTTATTTGGCATGTGAAATATCAACAGGATTGATGGTGGGTCTCACAAGGATCTTCATAGGAAGGGCCTCAAGTTTTTCTTCTCTCCAGTGAAAGTAAAGGAAAATAAAAATCCTTGCACAGAAAGGATGGAATTTGCTATGTGACATGAACTGAGAGTAAAAGCACAGGTAAATGAACTTCTTTCCTTGTTTCTCTTCTCTTTTTTGTATTTTAGTATCTGGTCTCGACCTGCCCTTGATTTCTACACAGTCATATCCTTCTTATTCTTGCGTTTCTTAACCTGCCCCTATCAACCAGCCCAGCTACCCAGGAGTCTGTGAGCAAGGAGAGCCTCCAGAGTCAGGACAGAAAGAAGCCAGAAAAGAGTAGCAATGGCATCAGCAATCATAGCGAACCTACAGGAAGAGGTGACATGCCCCATCTGCCTGGAGCTTCTGAGAGAACCCCTAAGCCTAAACTGTGGCCACAGCTTCTGCCAAGCCTGTATCACTGTGAACAATAAGACATCCATGATTAGCTCAGAAGGGGAGAGCACCTGCCCTATGTGCCGCATCAGCTACCAGCCTGACAACATAAGGCCTAATCGGCATCTAGCTAACATAGTGGAGAAACTCAGGGAGGTCAAAGTGAGCTTGAAGGAGGAGCAGAAGAGAGATGTCTGTAACCGCCATGGAGAGAAACTTCTGCTGTTCTGTAAGGAGGACGGGAAGGTTATTTGCTGGCTTTGTGAGCGGTCTCAGGAACACCATGGTCATCACACATTCCTTGTGGAGGAGGTTGCCCAGGAGAACCAGGTGAGAGACCAGAATGGAAGAAGACAAGGCAGAAAATGTTACCTGATGGGAATTTCTACTTTCTACCCTACTTTAATTACTTTGTCAAGATACACCTGAGACTTGCTGTTTCTTTCCATACGTTATGCTCACCTCCTGAGGCCTGAAGGATATTTTTGTGTATTCCAATCATTTAAATAATGAATAAATCCACAGTATAGACTCTTTGCCAGAAGTAGATAATTTTATATCTTCTGCTGGATGGGTGGAGATTTGGTGGCCAGATTAAACTTTGATTGCCACAGCTATAGGGCAGCTGGGGAACTTACTGCTTCAAGAGAAAAGGACTTTCCTTGCTGCAGGATCAGGTTCTTTTTCTAGGATTAGAGAAAATCAGGCTACTTTTGATGAGACACAAGTGACTTCGATCACCTGGGTCTTAATATATTTACATCCTCAGGTTTTCTTCTAAGTCATAGATTCTAATTGACAGCCTCACAGCTTCTGCAAACTAGTTTCTTCTGAGAGCAGCCAGATACCTGCCTTAATTTATCTTGTATCCAAGCACTAAGAAAGCTCATAGCTTAACTCTGATATGATTCTGTTTTTTACAGGCAAAACTCAAGACAGCCCTTGAAAGGCTGAGGATGATGCAGAAGGAAGCTGAGAAGTTGGGAGCTGACATCAGAGAAGAGAGGGCTTCCTGGAAGGTAGTGGGAGATTTCCTCTTGAGGGAGTTCTGGGCAGGGTCCTAGTCCCAAGAAGGCCTTTTCCTCTTTATTCCCTGACAGTAAACTAGTCTGGATGGAAAGCATTTGATCAGTCCTCTTCTTCATCTAGAAGCCCCTGTGGTGCAATGGTTAAGGTGCTTGGCTGCTAACTGAGACGTCGGCGGTTCAAACCCACCAGCCGCTCCTCGGAGAAAAGACCTCACCATCTGTTCCCATAAAGATTACAGCTTAGGAAACCCTATAGTGCAGTTCTTCTTTGTCCTGTAGGGTTTCTGTGAGTCAGAATTGACTCAGTGGCACACAACAACTTCTTCATCTCTCCCCTGATCATGGATGGGGCAGAAGAGTGGATATGTCACAAATGAGCACAGATACATATATATATGTATATTTTAATTGTGCTTTAGGTGAAATTTTACAGAGCAAATTAGTTTCTCATTAAACAGTTAATACACAAATTGTTTTGTGGCATTGGTTGCCAACCGTGCAGTGTGTCAACACTCTCCCCTTCTCCACCCCGGGTTCCCTGTTTCCATTCGTTCCAGTTTTCCTGTCCCTTCCTGCCTTCTTTGCTTTTGGGTCGGTGTGCCCATTAGTGTCATATACATGATTGAACTACGAGGCATGTTCCACACGTGTGTTATTGTTAGCCCTATAGACCTGTTTAATGTTTGACTGAAGGCTGAACCTCACAGTGACTTCAGTACTGAGTTAAAAGGGTGTCTGGAGGCCTTACTCTTGGGGTTTCTCCAGTCTGTACCAGACCAGCAAGCCTGGTCTTTTTTTCTTTTTCTTTTTTGTGAATTTGAATTTTGTTCTACATTTTTCACCCGCTCTGCCCAGGACCCTGTATTGTGATCCCTGCCAGAGCAGTCAGTGGTGGTAACTAGGCACTATCTAGTTGTTCTAGGCTCAGTCTGGTGGAGGTTGTGGTAGTTGTGGTCCATTAGTCCTTTGGACTAGTCTTTCCCTTGTGTCTTCAGTTTTCGTCAGTCTCCAGCGAGGATGGGACCAGTATCTTAGATGGCCACTTGCAGGCTTTTAAGACCCCAGACAGTACTCACCACAGTCAGATGTAGAACATTTTCTTTATAGACTGTTATGCCATTTGAGCTAGGTGTCCCCCGAGACCATGATCCCCAGCCGTCAGCCCAGTAGCTCGATCCCTCAGGGCATTTGGATGTGTCTGTGAAGTTTCTATGACTTTGACCTGGTCAGGTTGTGCTGACTTCCTCCCCAGTATTGTGTACTGTCTTACCCTTCACCAAAGTTACCACTTATCTACTATCTAGTTAGTGTTTTTCCCTCCCCACCCCTCCTCTCCCTTGTAACCATCAGAGTGTTTCCTTCTGTTGGTAAACCTTTTCATGAATTTTTATAATAGTGGTCTGCTACAGTATTTGTCCTTTTGTGATCAACTTATTTCACTCAGCATAATGCCTTCCAGATTCATCCATGTTGTGAGATGTTTCACAGATTCATTATTTTTGTTTATCATTGTGTAGTACCCCATTGTGTGTATGTACCATAGTTTGCTTATCCATTTGTCTGTTGATGGGCACTTAGGTTGTTTCCATCTTTTTTTGCTATTGTGAATAATGCTGTAATGAACCTGAGTGTACGTATGTCTATTTGTGTGACAGCTCTTATTTCTCTAGGATATATCCCTAGGAATGGGTTTGCTAGAAGGTATGGTATTTCTATTTCTAGCTTTTTAAGAAAGTGCCATGTCATTTTCCAAAATGGTTGTATGAATAAAGATATTTGGAGTTTGAGATATAGAAGGAGTCTCTAGTGAGGAAGCTTGGTGAATCCTGTGTCCATTACTGTCATGCTGTTTGAGGCTATGACTCCTCTAAGGGAAGTTATGGGGCATGGGCCATGATTCCAACCTCAGACTACCACATTGTGCTGGGGGTAGGGCTGTGGGGAGGTGGTGAGTAATGCAGGGAGGCATGAGTGTTTTGGGCAGCTATGTGAAAACTAAGCCTCACCCACATATTTCGTTTTGGCTCAGGGTGGGCCTCAGTAAGGCTGACTTGTGGTCTTTGTTTTAGGATATGAGGAAGGAAAAAAGTAAAGCAGTTTCCTCAAGAATTGTTCCCCTGCTTCTATCTCCCCTACCTGTGAGAACTCCCCAGAGACAGTAGTTCTCTTCCTGGCTCCCAGCTCCTTGCAGTAAGCCCTCTGCCAGATAGACTGACTGCCTCTCTCTTTCTCATCCCTAAAGGATCAGATACAGAGTGAGAGACAAAATGTCCAAGCACAGTTTAGTCAGCTGAGAGATATTCTGGACAGTGAGGAGCAGAGCGAGCTACAAAAGCTGCAGCAAGACGAGGAGAATGTTATGTATAACCTGATAGAGGATGAGAGTGAACTGGCCCAGAAGAGCCAGTTGGTGGAAGAGCTCATCTCAGATCTGGAGCGTCGATTGCAGGCGTCCTCAGTAGAGATGCTGCAGGTAAGAGTTGGGAAGGTGCCCCTCCCGCATCTGAGATTCAGGGAAAATGAGGACTTAAGTTTTCTTCTCTTCTCTGTTATTGGCTCCTTCTGGTGACAACACTAAAGTTTCATTGGCCCTGCAGTGCCGCTTCCCTGCTTTCACGTCAGAGGTAATAGGAATAACTAATGCATGAATACTGAGCGAAAACTCAATTATCATTAAATTATGAAGGGTAGTGCAAAAATTTGGCCGTGGAGAGAAGATCCATTGTATCTAGTGTTATTCACTAAGCCCATTATCTGTGATCTTGTGTTGAGTATTTGTCAGACACCTGTTCATGCTGCTTAGTCACAGATAAACAAAAGCTCTTTGGGTTTCAGGAGTTTTTTTGTTTTGTTTTTTTTTACCCTCCCTTTTATACACATAAACCTAGTTGGGATTTATCCTCTCCTCTCTTTAAAAAAAAAAAAATTGTGAAGGATTGATATTATTTCTTCTTTAAAATTCAATTGGATTCCTTGGTTAGTTATTCTGCGGGCTAAGTTTTTGGTATCTGACCTCCCCAGGAGGCATAACTAATGATATCTCTACTCAGTTCAAGGAAAAAAGAAAAATGAGTGTACTTTTTAAGCCTGGATTCAATGTCTTTTTTAAGCCTGATGTCAATGTACCATTGGCCAACCATTCAACACAAACTGTAGTTATGCTCAACCACAACAAGGCAGTAAGGCTTCTGTTCTCCCCTGATGGATCTGTCTTTGGGTAGGGGAGCACATTCAAAGTTCAGGCCATTTTCAAATATGGCATAGCTTTTCATCTCTGCTGGGTAATTTCAGTCTCCTATGCATATATGTACATCATTAGCATTGACCAGTGTTATGTGGGTGGTCTGACCCTTCTCTATTCACCATTGGGTATGCATGAAGGCTCAAACAGGAATATACTTGTCCCAACGATGACTACAGCAATAGACTAGTAGAGTTATTGACCTATCCCATTCACCTACCCCTGAGATTGCCATCAACAACACCACTGTATGGATTTTTCCAGTGCTACAACTCGAATGAGTCCCCTTTGACTGTGGCAGAGAAGCTTCTCATCCTCATTGCCTTCCCTCACCTAAGAGAATCTCTGCATCATCTGAGTTGGAGGGGGGCTGATGGGCTGATGGGAACAGCCTGAAGTCAAAACACCAGATATTCTCACTGATCTTACCAGAAGTTCAGCAATTTTTCAAGATTTAATGATTCTCAGATTATGTATGCCTAAGATATTGAAATGGTTGCTGATGTCAGTTTTGTCTAGCCGTATATTAACTTTTTTGGTCAAGAGTCTGCTGATCTCACTTAGCTAAAACTGGAATTCCTGTCCTGTCAGCTTTTTCTTCAGCCCCCTTGCCATTTGTCCTTGTCGTTTTTTTTTTTTTGGCAGATTACCTTAGAAAACCAAATGAAACCCATTACTGTCAAGTTTAATTCTGACTCATAGTGACCCTAAAGGACAGAGTAGAACTTCTTCATAGGGTTTCCAAGGCTGTAAATTTTTATTGAAGCAGATTGTCACGTGATTCTCTCACGGAGTGGCTGGTGGGTACGAACCTCGACCTTTTGGTTCGCAGCCAAGCAGTTAACCACTGCGCCACCAGGACTCCTTTTACCCTAGAAAAGATATTCCCAGATTTGTTGTATATCAGAATCACCTGAAGAGCTAATAAGGCACTCTAGACCTAGGCCCATTTAGGCCTTTCCATTTTTTTCTTTTAAACCACTTCATGGAAGTATAATTGACATATAGTAAACAACACATATTTAAATGTACAATTTGGTATGTTTTCTTTTTTATCCCTTTCTCTAATGGGCCCCTGGATACCACTTACCTTTTTAAATTCTCTATAGTTTTGCCTTTTCCAAAATGTCATATAGTTGGAATTATACAGTATGTCGCCTTTTCAGACTGGCTGCTTTCACTTACCAATATGCAGTTAAGGTTGTTTCATGTCTTTTTGCAGCTTAATAGCACATATCTTTTTATCACTGAATAATATTCCATTACATGAAGTATCAAGGAGCTCTGGTGACACAATGCTTAAGCACTTGACTGCTAATTGAAAGGTTGGCAGTTCGAACCCACTAGCCACTCCACGGGAGAAAAGACCTGGCGATCTTCTCCTGTAAGATTTCAGCCTAGAAAACCCTATGGTGTTGTTGGGACAGTTCTACTATATCCTATAGGGTGGCTATATGTTGGAAATGACTTGACGGCCCACAACAACTCAACAGCATGTGGTATACCTTTGTTTATTCATTCATCTACTGAAGAGCATCTTGGTTGTTTCCAACCAAACAGTTATGAATAGCAGCAATTATGAATAAATTATGAATAAAGCTGCTATAAAAATCATGTTCATGTTTTTGTGTAAGCGTACATGTTCATCTCATTTGGATAAATACCTAGGAATATGATTGCTGACTTGTATAGTAAGACTGTGTTTAGCTTTGTAAGAAACTGTCTTTGAGAGTGGCTATGTTATTTTGCATTTCTACTTGCAGTGAGTGGGAGTTTCTGTTGCTCCACATCCTCACCCACATTTGGTATTGTAAGTGTTTTGGATGTTAGCCGTTTTAGTAGGTGTGTAGTGGCATTTGTTGTTTTAATTTGCAATTCCCTAAGGACATATGATGTTGAGCATTTTTTCATATGCTTACTTGCCATATGTGTATTGTCTTTGGGGAAGTATCTGTTCAGATCTTTTGCCTAATTTTTAAATTGGCTTGTCTGTTTTTTTTGTTGTTGTTGTTGAGTTTTAGGAGTTCTTTGCATATTTGGAGTACAAGTCCTTTATCAGATTTGTGTTTTTACAAATATTTTCTCCAGTATGTGGCTGAAAAACTAAATAAATCTAGACACTGATCTTAAACACCTTCCACAAAAGTTAACTCAATATTGGATCGCAGACCTTAATTTAAAACCCCAAGAGGTAGACCTTCTATAAAATAACATAGGATAAAATATAGGTGATGAATTTTTAGATACGAGACAAAAAGTATGATTCATGAAAGAAAAAAAATTGATTTAAGTTGGACTTAATTAAAATTAAAAACATATGTTCTGTGAAAGACACTGTTGACCTAGTCTTTGGTTACATGAAAGATGGAGAGTACAGTAAAGGAGATTAAATATATTGGTATATATCTCTTCAAACAAATTAAACAGCATCTGTGACATTGAAGAAGAGCAGATGGCTAAAAGCAGTTAAGGATGTCGACTAATCTGAGTTGGTAGACATTGGAGTTTAGGGTAGGATATTGTAGTTTTTAGGACAGTAAATAAGTGGACTTGGTAACATTACAGACATTGGAGTATAAGAGAGGAGACAACATGGTTGATGAGCAGTGATTTAGGTGTTAGACACTCTGAATTTTCTGGTCATTGTAGCTTCTTCACTACTAAATATATTAGCCTGCATTTAAGAGACAAATCCGAGAAAAAAAATAGAGAATTGGAATTAGCAGCACATATGTGTGTGATGAATTTAGAGGAATAGATGAGGTCACTTATAGTTAGTGTACAGAATGAGAAGAACAAGGCTTGAGGAATACCTGTGTAAATATACTTGTTTGCTTGTATCCTCAGCAAGAACCATGAAAGTTTTATAGGCCTGGTATTATTAATTACTCATCTTTGATTCTCCAAAGCCTAGTATGTTGTTATATTGTGTGCCATTGAGTCAATTCCGACTCATAGCAACCCTAGAAAGTAGAACTGCCCTATAGGGTTTCCTAGGCTGAAATCTTTCTGGGAGCAGATCACCAGGTCTCTCCTCCCACGGAGCAGCTGGTGCGTTCAAACCACCAACTTTTCAGTTAGTAGCTAATCGCTTCACCATTGTGCCACCAGAGCTCCTAAAGCCTAGTATAATACATAGCAAATAATAGTGTTTCAATTTGTATGTGTATTCAATAAATGAAAGAACAAAGTATTATTCCAGTCATTTCATGTGAGGTACCTACCATATGGAAACCCTGGTGGTGTAGTGGTTAAGAGCTACGGCTGCTAACCAAAAGGTTGACAGTTCAAATCCACCAGGAGCTCCTTGGAAACCCTGTTGGGAAGTTCTCCTGTGTCGTGTAGGGTTGCTATGAGTCAGAATCGACTCAACGGCAACGGGTTTGGTTTTTGGGTTTACCTACCATATACATTTGGGATAAAAACAGAATGATGGGCCTTTTGTTTTTCTTATAAATGTATTCCACCTAGTATTGGAAGCTTCTTCCAGTATTTCTACAAGGGTCAAAGCTATTTCTACATTTTAAGGAATCTGACAACCTCTCATGAGTCCTCATTGATGGTCACCCTGGGCTTTACTTGTATGTATTGGCCCTCACTCTGGGACCATTTCTTTATTTCTGTCACATCAGGGATTGTTGGGCGTGAGATGAAGTGTTGTAAATGGGGAGGACCTATCATTCCTTGACTCAAAGTTTTCTCCCCTCTCCCTAGGATGTGAATAACATTATAAAAAGGTACGTTTGGGTGAACAGGAATGATCCTTTTGTGCTGTGAAGAGACATTTGTAACCGTGAAAGTTGTGTGGTGATCAAGAAGAATGAAAAATCTCCAAACAGGAAAATTTGGATGTAGTTTTATCTTAAATTTCCAGTCATAAATCAGGTTTGACTGTTCCATAACTATTGAGAATGAACCAGATTCTATGGTAAAGAATTTGTGTGGTAGGAGGTCACAGAGTTGGGCCAGTAGGGGTCATAGGGATAAGATGCTGCAGTATCAGACCCCTGTGACTTCACTCATGTTTATCACCTATGTCTCTGCATCCAGTTCTGGTTCCAGTTCTCATATTTCATTGGTGCTTGCCTTTTCATAGGAAGTTCCTATTCTGTTTATCTACTAAGTCCCCAGAAATGTCCATGCTGACACATTCTTTGTATTTTTCCTGTAGATTTTCAAAAACAGACTCCAGACTAAGGGAATAGTATTTTGGCCCTGATAAGAACAATTGATCAATCTTGGTCTCCTACCTTAGAAGCCTGTATGGCAAGGTAGCCCCCTTGTGTCCAACAAAGCACAATACTTGAAGGCATCAAGTTCGTTACAAATGATTTTCAGACCACTATTAGTTTGGTTGGTGTTCATAATTTCTCCCCTCCCAAGTGTTTGTAACTTTTCCCCCAGAGAACCTGAAACCTCAAATGTTATTGTAAGGGCCTTCCTACTGGAGAAACAGACTTTGAAGACTATTGGGCCTCATCAGATAGGATTGCCATACTTCATATGTCCCAAATCCCAAGGAGCCAGGTTCTGTAAGCTTACTTTCTGACCATTTCCCTGGGAACTCACATCCATGGCAATGACTTTTCTACACATTAAACTTTATTTTGTAAAGGTATCACAAAGTGTTTTTTTTTAATCCATTATTTCATATAATTTCATATGATTTCTAGGAGGTAGAGAAAGAAGGATTAAAGAAACTATACTACTGAGAGGTGAACCTTCCCAAGGTCTTACAAAGAGTAAGTGATAAGGTAGACATGAGCACATGTCTTCTGGCCTAGTGCCAGTTGTCTCCTTTCTCCCCTCTCAGACTCTCAAGGGATCAAGGGTTCTTCAGGAGTATCAATAGGGTAGAAAGAGAGGAAGCCAATAGTGTTGGAGGGACATAAAGTCAGAGGTGAGGGAGTCAACTTTTGTCTTCCCTAGGAGTGAGATCTGCACTGTGAAGAGGACAAAAACTATTCCCAAGAAACAAAGTAGAGTTTTCCAAGCTCCAGATCTGAAGGAGATGCTGCAAGTGTTTAGAGGTGAGGAGAGTCAGGGGAAGGGTGTGGTGTGGGATTCTTGGCGGCAAGGGCTAAATGGGAGACAGGGTGCAGAGAAGTTGCAGGAGGAGAAATAGTGTTTGCTCATAATGTGGTCATATTTAAAGGGGAATGGTTAGGTGTCTGTTCCTCTCAGTCATAAATTCATTGTCTCATCATAGTCCCGTCTCAATCTGGAAAGAAGACAGATGTCAGTGCTGACTCTTTTGCTTATATTCAATATCATGGTATCTTTTGTCATTTCAGAGCTGACAGATGCCCGATGCTACTGGGGTAAGGAGAAATCACAGTATCTTCAAGCCACCCATTCTTACCACCTTTTGTAATTACGTGTTCTCTAGTAGGTCTCACTCTTTGATATCCATGTATCCTTATCCAATGCCCACCTACATATTACATTTCCCCAGTGTTCTCCCTCTCCCTATGACCCTGAACAAGGTTTTTTTTCAATTCCCTCTCATGTTCTTCTCAAAATCCCTCTCTTAATGTCACAAATAATCCTAACTTATATCTTTCATCTGATCCTGTTATTTTCCTACAGTGCACTTGAGACTGGATCCAATGATGCCTAATGCCGTGACCATTTCTAATGATCAGAGACAAATGAAATTGGTGCCCGATTGGATATGTATCAGTCACTTGCCTACTACCGTTTACAGTAATTATGGTGTCCTGGGCTTCCCATGTATTACGGCAGGGAAACATTACTGGGAAGTCGATGTGTCTGACAAAACTGATTGGATCCTGGGGATATATTTTAGAGATTACGGCATGCATGCTACATATGCTAATCATAAAAATTTTTATTCTAGATACAGCCCTCAGTGTGGCTACTGGGTTATATGGTTACAGAATGGATCTACATATAATACTTTCGAGAATTCATCTTCGAAACATGCTTTGATCTTGACCCTCTCTCTGACTGTTCCTCCCCGTCGTGTTGGCATTTTCCTAGACTGTGATGCTGACTCTTTGTCTTTTTTTAATGTCACATACCACGGGTCTCTCATCTACAAATTCTCTAAGTGTGGCCTTCCTAAGCCTGCCTATCCATACTTCAGTTCTGTGAAATGTACATTACCCATGTCCCTTTGTTTACCAAACTCTTGAACTGTCTTATACGCTCATCCATTTTTGTGCAGTAGCCTTGCCCTGTGGTACCTCTTCTGAACCTCAGCTCATCTGTACCACTCTGACTCTCTTTCTTGCCACTCTTCTTTCCTTTTAAACATCATTCACTCTTCAATAGAATATACAATTTTCCTTGTGTCTTATTCTTTCCAATGTTTTGTCTGCATTAGGAAATAATGCAAATTTATCATTTTCCACATTCCCTAGGAAAAATGACTGTTGTCATTTGGGTATCACATCCACCCACTCTTCGTTCACTCATTTCCTCTGCCACTGACCTAAGAAGATGAGGCAAAGCTTTTCAAATACTTCTGTATTATTAAAGACCATGTATGGGAGTCATTAAGGAGCCCTGGTGGCACAGTGGTTAAAGTACTTGGCTGCTAACCAAAAGGTCGACGTTTCAAATCCACCAGCAGCTTCACATGAGAGAGATGTGGCAGTTTTCTTCTGTAAAAACTGCAGCCTTGAAAACCCTATGGGGCAGTTCTACTCTGTTTCATGGGGTTGCTGTGAGTCAGAATCGACTTGATGGGAACAGAGTATCGTAGTCATTCACTAAAGAATGAGTCTACAGGATTCTGTCAGTTTACCCATGATATCCATATTCATAAAGGAGTTAAGGAAAAAGACCACAAATAATATATGTATCAAGAGTAGAGGTTTTGTGTCCAGACTGTCTGAGTTCAAATCCTGTCTCTCCATTCAGTAGCGGTGTAACCTTGAATACGTTACCAAGTGACTGTGTTTATTTTCTCAAAATAGTTTTGGTATAAAGCTGCACCTAATACTTAATATCATTGTGAAAAAATAAATATCATTAAATGTAAAGCACTTATATAAGTTTATCCACTTTCAATAAAGTTTTGCTCTACTTATTACTAAAAAATATATGCTGTGTCAACAACAACGTCCCATGGAACAGGTTTGTGTCTTCAGGGAAACCATAGCTGGTTCTTCTGAAAATGTATTTTTCACGTCCCTGACACTACTGCCAAGACTAAGCCAGCCCTGCTTTTAATTGACTGCTATGGTAGTTCCTAGGAATGAAGAAAAGCCTGTTCTCTTCTTTCAGTGAGACAGGTGAGGAATTGTTTCTGCAGTGGATGTTCACGCATGGCTTCGTGGTATCCCCATGTCTTTTGGCATTTTTATTTGAATTCTTTCCCAAATGAATTATCAACCAGGAAAAATGTAAATAATGGACTGCTTAGCCAAGTAATTCTAATCTGGTCCCTGCTTGGCTACAGGAATTCTCAACTTGCCTACCTATGTGTGACCTCGGAAACCCTTTGGGGTTTCAGGAAAGAAGGAATTCCACGTTGGATATTTCCAGTCTCTTTCTGTGTGTATAGACATACTCCTATATCAGCACTCATCCAAGGAAACCAGGGGAAATTGATTCCTGTACATTTTCCCTTTAGCCCCTGCATTCTGGCCCCTGCATTACTACATTGACTGAGACACTCATTCACTAGGAACAATCTCTGCTCCCTTGAATTATTGACAAGATTTCTCCAGGGATATTCATATCTTTTCATTCACTTGAATGCCCAGTTCCCACCTAAGGATGAAAAGCTGGTTACAAGGATGTAAAAACCTGAATGTGTATGCATGTATATATAGGTTACATATACAACAGAAGAGATCTGCACACTGAGGGGCATCCTATTTTTAGTAGTATCTCCTGGCCCAAGAAATGAAGCTCTCTGCTGAAAAGAATATGAAGCCTGTAAGTTGGTTTCAGTTATAATCCCTCTTCACAGAGGTGAGAGAAAGCGTCCTGGACTCAAAAGTCCAGTGTGTACCATATGTAGGTTTGCTCTCCACCCAGGTATCAGTGCTAGAGGTTTCTCCTCCCCCATCCTTGTAAGCTCTCAGTGGCAATTACATCATTTTGTATTCCTGAGCAAAAATGAGGGAGACCCTCAGTGAGATGGATTGACGCAATTGCCGTAACAATAGGCTAAAACATACCATCGATCATGAAGACAGCACAGGACCGGATAGTGTTTCACTCTGTTATACATAAGGTTGCCATGAGTTGAACTGACTTGATGACAACTAACAAGAACACAAGGACTGATGAGGCATTAATTAGGCAGGTGTGTGTCCACAGTAGGATGCTTGCGTGAGCTCAGGAGAATCCCAGGTGATAAGGAGTCTTCAGCCTGCAGGATCATCCATGGACAATGTACAGGCAGAGGTTCTTAGAGTCATCATCAGGAGCGTCTTAATCTGGGGACCTGAGATCCTCATTGAATAGTGACACAGATCTACATGGGTTTGGGATTCCAGTGACCTTTCATTTTGCCTGTGGACAACTGGGCAATCTCTTGATCCTGACTCCTATTTTCTCCTTGTTGTCTAACCTCAGATCTTTTGTATCTCAGTACCCACAACGCCTCCTCACCGCCACTGTTCCTGTCCTGATCTATGCACCCTCTGAGTCCAGATGACTCATCTAGTCCCCCTGGGGTGGGAAGTGCAGCATAATTTTTCTGCTCAGTGTTGGTTTTCCACTGAGGGCTACTGGTACACAGTGGTTAAAGCCCTTCACTGCTAACTGAAAGGATGGCTGTTCCAACCCACCAGCCGCTCTGTGGAAGAATATATGGCAGTCTGCTTCTATAAAGATTTACAGCTTTTGGGGAAGTTCTTTGTCCTATAGGGTTGCTATGAGTCAGAATTGACTTGAAGGCAATGGGTTTGGTTTGGTAAGTGCTTTCAGTTGGTCCAGAGAATATTGGCGACATAATAACAAAACTCGTTGTCTTCAGGTTATGGGGGGAAAACACCCTCATAGTAGATACATATGTTATCTTTTCATCAAAGATGCTATTATACCAAATGGTCATTGTTAATAAAACTCATACAATTTAGAATATTTATATTTACCATGGGATAAGACTGCATTTTTGGAGTTTAGTATGTTGTAAAATAAAGCTAGAGTAAACAGATGCTTTAATAGTTGGCATCTGTGCCCTTACGTTTTCAGAGTCCTCGTGTCTTGCTGCTCATTAAACAGTTGAAGCTGCTTGACACTGCTGAGTTAGAAAAATCTTAGTCTACACTAACAGATGGGCTGGGGCTTCATCGATGAGGCTTGGAATCCGAAAGTCTCCAGGCTGTGTTGGATTATTTGGCCCTTTTAGTAGTTTCTCCACTTCCCTGAGCCTACCCCTTCCCTCTGAGCCTTTCACTATCAAAGTACCACAGCTGGTGTTAGAGGTGGGGGCCGCTGCAGTAGCATGTGTACTTCAAGTCAGTCCAAGACTTTCAGGTTTGGGGAGTTATCCCCTTCTTGTCTCCAAATTATGGTCCCTCTGAAAGAATATAATAGTAAATAAAATATACTAAAATAATTTATGGTAGAAAGAGAATGTGATCATTTTGCACAAATCTAAACAAGACAAAGATAGCACAAACAAAATTATAAATGGAAACTGGTTCATTACTGATAACTAAAATGGGGTGAGAAGAGGTGATGTGCTGGGAATATCCTTTGATATATTTGAGTTGAGACAAACCAGTGGGGAAATCAGAGCATATCAAAGCACCATACAATCTGGGCCAGTAGGCAACCCAAATGTACCATGCTCCTTTTCCACCACACACAATTTATCTCCAGTGCTGAGTACATTGGTATGCTCCGCCAGTTTACCATGTTCTGAGGGACCCAGGAATAATAAATCTTCTTAGGGCTCCACATCCCCACTCCAGTCCCTACAACTCCTGTTGGAGAGGAATCTGACAAAGATTTCTCCCTTTGGGTGCATGGATTTTTAACACTTTCTTGTTGGAAGAAAACTTGCGGGTAAAGTAAGAATTAATGTGATTAGAGTGTGGCAGTGTAGATGGATTAAACACCAGGCATTGAGGTAATTTTCTGAGTATACTTTAGGAAGACAACAGAGAAGATTTGAAAAATTGTTAAAAATTGCCAAGTGTTCAAATGTGATATATATTTTTCCAAAAAAAAAAAGAGCAGCTGTTTAAGCCACTTAAGTACAACCAAACACCTCACGGAATTTGTTCCGGTCTGGAAATTTAGGGTCATAGTTTTGAGGAACATTCCAATCAATTGGCCTAATATTGTTTCTCAGTGCTTCTGTTCTATTTCCTAGTTTGTAAGGAAGTACCTGGGCAAGTGGCCATCTAGGGTACACCAGTAGGTCTCCATTCACCAAGAGCAACAGAGCAAAAGGAGAGTCAGGAATTAGAGGAGGAAACGGATTACCTGTCTGGTTATCTTCATGAACAACTGCTTCCTTTGCCATGAGACCAGAACTGGATGATGCCCAGCTACCATTACTAGTTGTTTTGACCAAAGATTCTATGGCAGAATCCTGATCAAAAGGGGGAAGAATGTGGAACAGATTTTCAGATGCTCAATGTAAGACTTTCTGGAGCCATTGAGGCTGGATGAATCCCTGAAACTATCTCCTTGAAATAATCTTTCAACTTTAAAACTTAAACCAAAACTATCCCCTAAAGTCTTCTTTGAACCAAAAATTAGCTTATCTTAATAAGGTATGTCTACCTTGCGCATTGTACTGTTTTAAAGAATTATCCATGTGAGATCAAATTGACAATAGCAACATAAGGTTAGATGAGAGGCTTAGGGGGCACTGAGTCTAAGTCAAAGGTGGTAGAACAATTCAGAGAAGGTGATGCCCGGCTACCATCACCGACTGCTCTGACAGGGATTATAATAGAGGGTCCCGGACAGAGCTGGAGAAAAATGTAGAACAAAATTCTAACTCACAAAAAAA